CATTTTACTTTACAATCTAACATCACAGCTAATTCTCCTTGTTCATTTTTCGATTCTCCTCCGTCCCGGTATGGGACTCATCAGTAGTACGCGCCGACCGGGATTCGAACCCAGGACCATCCGATTTCCAGCGACCTAGTAGACCATTGAGCCACTGGATCCCGACTAAGTAGTTCATGAATTCCAACCTCTGAAAATCTGAGATTTTAGAGCGACCACCAGCCAGCATCATCAGTGAGCATTTATGCTCACGCCTCCTGACCTTGTGGAAACCACCGGTTACGACTTCTCACCAGAACTCCAAGCAACTTCATCCTGTAGCCAGTCACTAGCGAGCATAACATTAAATTCCCGAGAATTAGTTTGCAGGAATTCGGTTTGTTTCGAATTTGAATATATTTGGAAATAAACCTCTATAATCATAGTCTATAAAGACTTGCTGTAAACATCAGTGGGACAACAAAAACATAAGGTTGGAGATACCAATAAGTACGCCTCATAATCGGTGGGAGTGGGGCGTATTGTAGCACGTATTCACTGCTACTAGTTTGCATAGTCGCAAAGCGATTCATCTATCTGTGCCACTCTGAGCTTGAAAATTCAAATGTGAGACGCAACAACTTGCTGAACTATTTCAGTTTATATCAGACACAGTGCTAACCACAGCTATTTGTAATTGTCAACCTCAAAAGCTCATTGGCATAGTCTCTGACTGCTGCACTAGCTGACGAGGGTTTGAATCCCATAGGGGATATCAGTTCCTTTAGAGTTACAGATACGCCTTGCTGACGAGTACCGACAAGCACAAAATCCTGATCTAGGGCTGCCTGCTGATTGCTTCCAATTATTTGATATTAATGCTTCTATTCATATTGTTCTTTATCGCTTCTTCTATCTAAATCTTATTAGAATTTTTGACTACCAATCTAACCATAGACTTAAAAGCTACTCAATACACAGTAACCATTAAAGGAAATTTATTACAACAATCGCTTTTAACTGCACTATAAAATCACTAGTTATTTCTGCTGTAATCAGCTGCAAATCGAGCACCTAATTATTCAGTGACCGATAACAGCTTAAAGTCAAAGTGATGGCTTCTTTGTTGACCGGTATTTACTATTTGAAGTCATTAACACAAAATCACGTTCAATACGAATACAATTTGAGCCTGATATTTACATATTCACTTGCACAACTGCTAACAACAGACAGATAATACATATAGAGCTGTCTGAAATGAATGCTCGCATGTCATGTCTCACTTTAAGTTTGGAAACTAAGATTGAAGTTGGAACTCAGCTAGTCGGAAAAGACTTCTCGTCATATACCACAATGTAAGCTACGTTTACCGTGTGACGGCTTGGTTCCCGAGTGGAAAATACGGCTTCAGAAGCACATCACCTATTCACCCTGCTCCTTGCGGTCTTTTTAAGCTGGCTCAAAACCTGACCACAATTTTTTTTGCCTTGTCACGTGACTTCATGAATGTCGCTGTAGGAAGCCCGACTCGTCGTCCTCTATCCGGGTCCGCACTCGACGACCTGCCACGTGGTCTCACTCAACGTATATCCAATCCATCTCCATTTCTTTCTGCGTATTTTTATTAGGCAATCGGTTCGTCGCCAGAGTTTCTTGTTGCTAATCTTTTCTGGACATCTTATCCTGGGTGATGTGTGTGCCCACTAAATCTCTGAATCACTGCTTTGACATTTGTCTTGAAACTTTGCACCTTGCCCCTCGTGCTGAGTGCGGTCGATCTCCACACTCATTTTAGAGTAACAAAGGTCTGATCTTGCTATTCCAATCCTAACTTGCTTTGATATCCTCACTCATACCTCCTGACTGTAGTTTGAACGATCCTGCTTAGGCAAATAAGTAACAGTGGTGGTGACTTCCATTAGATATCTCCCACTGATGGTAATTGCTGCTTATGGTGAAGTAGGTACAGGGGACTTTGGATCCATGATCCACTGAATGGAAGTCAACTGCTTGAGGCGATGAGCCATATGAAATACGAATCAACAAAATGGTTTTGTAACAATTAGAAAACAACTATTTAAAATAAAACAGTTGTCCCCATCGTATTTTACAACTTTTCATTAACGAACTCTTTAGGCGAGTATATTATTAAACCTTGATACATTTCAATGCAAGTAATTTTCTTCAAACCAACCAATTTAAACCTAACAGTGACAGCTTGTCTTTTAAACCAAAAGAAATCAGCTAATTTGAAACCATTCTGAAATCTTCAGTTATACACGTGTATTCATTACACCAACACAAACTGCTTGTTAAATTAACCTTCGGTATACACAAACGAACTATGCATACAACTAGTAGTAAATTAGGTGAAGACAAATAAAGCCACACAGTCAAGTTGACAAGACATGACAAACAGGTCCCAGGAATACTTTGATTGGACACTAATAACTAGTGTCATGTGCCTAATCCTTTCTTCGGTGAATACTGAATTCTATCACTCAGGTTTGCTATGTGGCCATCATTCTAGGTAGCTTGCCATCACGGTGCACATTGATTTGATGGTATTAGATGCACCGAAGAAAGGACTAGACACATCGCACTAGTTACTAGTGTCCAATCAAAATATCCACTACAGTCCTACAGGAGGTCAATCGTGAGCCCGAATAGCTCAGTGGTGGTAACGTCTTTGACTGCAGCCCCACTGGGTGACGCGAGTTCGAATCTCACAAGGGAAATGAGTTCCCGCAAGGTTGTAGATACACCTTGCTGACCAGTTCCGACTACCACAAAACCTAGGTCCAGGGATTCCTACCGATTGCCTCCAACCAACTAATATCATCAGATCCCAGGAGTTACAACCAAACGGTCTACACCTCCCTATCTGACTGAAACTACTAACTAGCAAAAACTCTATGGATTGATGTCATGCTTTTGTTCAGCCAACCAGCCACCCTTTTCCAGCTTAACCTCCTATATGTCAACTAAAATTGCTAATCGAGAAAGGCAATGGCTTGGCATGCGCAACATATGTCCTAGCAATCGTAAACGATATAGCTTCCCTTCGAATTGAGATTGAGATGGCTAGGATTTGTGTTACGCAGACTGCGCCATCGTCCCCCTTGACAGGAAATCTTAGCCGATATAGGATTAGATTGAAAAAGAGTTAGGGATGGTCGAACAAAAACCTGGCATCAGTCCATGAGTTTTTTGAGCCAGCTACATAGAAAGATGCAGATTGTGTGGTTGGTGTCTCCACGATGCTACGAACTAACAGGAGTGGTCAATTGCATTCACTCTTTATGACCTCTCCTGTATCCACTAAATCGTCATTCTTTCCCATTTAAGTACATTTCTGTTTACTATCGTTTTTCTGAGACTCTTTTTTTCTATGTTTTGTCTACATGCCGTGTAGCAACTTGAAGTGACTTACTTCTATACTACGTTCTATATTAAGGCTCAGTCGTCCGTCAGTCCTTAACCAAATAGTAGTCTACGGCTAATGTTAATATTACTCACCGAAGACTGAAGAAGTGAGATAAAAATCTAGGTTGCCGCAGGATTTGGAACCAGCGGTCTCCGAATTACTAGTGTGAGTCGAATCCATCAGCTGGGAATTCACACTATTTATATACATATATAATGGTCTACAAGCTCGCCTTGTGACTAGAAGATCCTGGGTGCGAACCCCTGTCGTGGGTGCGTATTGCTGAATAGTCCCAAACTAGGACGAAACAGCTGGCCGGTACTCCCTGCAGGTTTCCCAATGCCTCTTTAAATGATGTCAACTCATGGTGAAATCCTCCAACCAATCAAACATAAATTCCTACAAAACCAATACTTGAAAATATATAAGCAGGTGTCATTGATATAAGAATAACACTTCTGCACTGTGGTACAGTTTAATTCCATTGTGGGTAAATTTTATTTTGATAAAGTCTCACAGTGTTATACAGTAATGTTTACTGATGACAAAGTTTCGAGCACAATTTGTTGCTCATAATCATATCAAAGCACCTACTCACACGACATCCGAACTTCATTTATATAGTTCCATTATTTTTCACTTGATTTCCACCTGATTTGATTGGTAGTAATATTTTCCATATTTCGGGAAGATCAACAATGAATGACCAAAGGAAAAAATAATTGTGAAACTAGTAATAATAACATAAATAAGAGAGAATATAAGTCATCTACAGTTATACCATATAAAGAGGGGACATCTGAGACACTACGTAGGATTTTTTAAATAAAGCAGGAATTAGACTGGTGGCATTCAAACCTACAAACTCACTCAGACAGAGACAAGCTCTGTAGGTTAAAAGACCCGGTGGACCCAATTAGACAAAATAATATTATTTACAAAATATCCTGCAATGACTGTGAGTTAGGTCAACTACATAGGTCAAACTAGTAGGTCACGGGTAGTCAGATTGTCGGAACATAAGAATTTAGCTAAGGTAAGAATGGTTGACCCCGAGAAGACAAGTAATTTAGAAAAAAGCTCAGCAATTGCAATGCATGCATCACACACACACACAACCACACAATAGGGTGAGAGAGGGTTAAAATTCTAAAAAGCAATCTAGGTAGGTGAAGAGAGAGGTTGATTACTGAATCCTGTCTGGTTCATCGAGTCTACACCAACACATGCAATAGGAATGAGTCATCACTCATACCTGAAATATGGAAAATATTACTACCAATCAAATCAGGTGGAAATCAAGTGAAAAATAATGGAACTATATAAATGAAGTTCGGAAGTCGTGTGAGTAGGTGCTTTGATATGATTATGAGCAATAAATTGTGCTCGAAACTTTGTCATCAGTAAACATTACTGTATAACACTGTGAGACTTTATCAAAACAAAATTTACCCATAATGGTATAAGTAGGTGTGATAATATTCAGAAACAGGCGCACATACACACATATCCAAATGAACACAAACAACTGGATCAACTCTGCCCATTCATTCATTTAAAAGAAATAACAGATTTTACTTTTGATTACAAAATAGTTTAATCTGTTCTCTTAGTATTACAAAAGGCAGTAAGGAAATAATAATAACAATAACCCAAAGAAGTTTTGGGTACTATAACAGGGTTGATTGACTGATTAATCGATTGATTGACTGATGAAGAATAATCCTGTAAAACAAATAATAAAACAATGTTAACATAGATTTACAAATAATCATGTGATAAGAATGCTTCTTAAATTTGTGTTATACTTGAGATAAATCAAAAAAGGTCGACTTCGTCATGTACTGATGTCAGATAAGGAGGTACTGATGCTAGGCAAGGAGGGGAAATCAATCGACGAGGCTGTGAAATTACATCAGATGAGATGGTTAGGACATGTGTTACGTATGCCTAGTCATCGCCTTCCTCGACAACGGGCAATGTTAGTTGACATAGGGTCAGTCAGGCTGGAAAAGAGCTAGCACGTGCTGGTCAAACCAAAACATGGCTTCACTAGTCAACGAAATCCACAACAGTTAGTTTAAGCCAGCCACGTAGGAAGGTGTAGACTTCCTGACTGGTTGGGGTCGTCGGGAAGGTAAAATACCAATGAAGGATGAAGACAATTGGTGATATGGCTTAAAATCGTTCTCAATGACTGGCCTGTGCGGATGCATCCACTCCTTGTGACTGATGATTTCCAATGAGACTGTTTTGTTCTTCGTTATTCCTATTCCTTTGTCTCACACCTCTGTTTACTCTTTCTATTATGCATTCTTCTACTTTCTTCTCTTGCTTTGTATGCTGGGTGAAGTGTGGCGACTCGAACTGCAGCACATCAATGCAAAGTTCTATGTCGAATACAGACTGACTGACTGATGTCAGTTGCATCGAAGTTAGGCAGTGTGTTCAACAACATAAAAAGACTGACCACTTTGGTTTCAAGATAAGCTGTACTTCTACAGCTCGATATTAGACCAATTTATTTGTGGGTGATCCGTATGAAGTCGTCGATTTTTGGTTTCGCACTTGTTGGAGATTCCTCAACAAGGTGTATGCGTGTGTATGTTTGAAACCTCGAACGAACTGATGTCTCATCGGTGAAGATGTAGCTCACTACTAACTCAGGCACTCAACCTTTAGGCAATGGGGTTGTGAGTTAAAAAGTCGCTTCACCCACTGCAGCCTGGGGCACACACACACACACACGAATTCACCAGCTGATCCTATTGCTGAACAGAACAACAAACTGATATTCCCATACACATGGACAAGTAAATTATTTCGCTTAGATTATCCAATAACATCGCACCCCAGGCAATGCCTAGAGTGGAATCCCATTGGGAAGCGACGAGTGGGTCATCAGTGCTAGGGTGACATGGAGAAGATCGTGTGTGGAAGAGATGAGAGAGTTTAGTCAATCGTGGACCCAGCTGAAGAGGAAGGCAAAAACAGAACAAAGTGGAGGTGTGTTGTTGAAGCCCCATGTTCCACTCGGAACTCAAGGAAATAATATAATAATAATATGTAATTGCACATCCTGATGAGGAGTTACCAAAATTGTGTTCTATAATTACTACATAATGGAAATATTTGAATTATCTTACATTTCTTTTGAACTCTTATGTATGGTGAAACTTTCCCCCCATCCGTTTCCGTGTGCATATTGATTACAGGTCATTCATTAAATTAACTGCCTTGCTGTGTAACTTCTAACACATTGTGTCGATTGTCCAAAACGGAAAAGAGCATGAACCTAGCGCTGCCTCAGGATACTATGTGCAGTACATCGACTCTTAAAAGAATAGAAGAAAGATTGGTGATTCGAGGATTGTTTATTTCTTCACCCTGACAATGAACCAAGAGTACACGGTTACTACTACAGCATAAAGTTTTCGATCGCTTCCCTCCAGTCTTTTGCCAAATAGCGTACGACTGACTGACTGACTAGGCCACTGCTGCCATTTTTACCTCCAGCGAAAATGAAGATCCGTTCGAATAGACAAACCACACATATTGCTTATTCAATGTTCCCTTCCTTTTCAATTGATGAATATTATCAGCAACTGTGGTTATCACAAATCATCCCCTTGTGTTACTATCTTCTTTTATGAAAGGAGGCTGAATATATAAATGCTACTGCACAGCTAAAGAATATTTGAAACGACAGAAGACAACGGCCAGGCAACAGATCGTTTATTGAGAAAATTAACAGATATTTATAGATTTTTACGTACACTATTATTAGTGTTATTGTTAGCACAGAAGCAACCTCTTCTCATTGGTTTTTCTTACTGAAGGTTATTATGTACTGCTTGTGACCGGTGCTTACAAAGCTATCCATATATCTGCGAATCGTATCCACCGACGCAAAGTCTGTTGTGATTGGTTGTTGAGTTCCTCTCAGGGTTAAGCTTTGTTCTTGTTTCTTCTAATGACCCCGATTCGGGACGTAAACAATGACATCAATTGCTGCCTACAAATTTCTCTTGCAGACAGTTTTCACCACAGATTAATTCTTCGGAAAGAACTCTCCCCCATCCCCAGCCTTTGTCTGAACAGTGCTTTGTTTCGATATCCACATTCTCATTTATCAGATTGTTTATTTTCCCTTTCAATTCCTTTGCGTTCCGCCAAGTGGAACACAGAAATTCAAGCTTCAGGCTTTGTAGTTTCAGTAGCAAAGATGTTTTTCAAGAGATGAGTGGGAGGGATAGCCAGCCTCACGCCTGACCTTCGCTCTTTCCCTAGTTTATTCCCAAAAGCTAAACAAGGCTGAGGAGTATGCGTCTGATGGTGGCCGGTAATCGAACCCCAGTCCACCTGAGAAGTGTTGACAAACATACTGCTACCACTCAATGACTTACGTATATAAACAGATATACATATATACAGGGGTGAAAAATTGATACACAACTCATTGGGGAAAAATTCTACCCACTATATTCTCGAAGTTAAAGGGGTTTAATCCATTCTAGCAGATTTATTCGACGTCCTGTTAGTTTTCTTCGCTTTACGAAGTGAAGCAGGTATAACTGAGGAGCGTCTTTTCTTTGCCCCAGTAGTCCCAACTCTATGGAAAATGAGAACAAAAATCAAAAACAAAAAAAGGAAATCGATTTATTTCAAAATTTGATCATCAGCCGAAATCAGTTAGAGATTTCTATATAATTGAAAGCTTGAGTGTATTAGATAGCTGCTTTATTCTATTTTGTTTGGCACTCTCCATGAAGTAAGCCGGTGATCGAACTCATATCCATATATGACAGTGAGAAAAAAAAGGTTAGTGTACTGATTAGTAAATATTTATACAGTTACATATCCATTTCTTGTGAGTACCTACCTTTGTGGTGTTTTATATTTAAGAATAGAGTTCATGATGTCAACCCAAGTACCATTTTCAAAATTGCTTTACAATCGAATTCGACCCCGGTGTATTCGTTCTAGTTGAAGAGGTATTTCGAGTACTAATCTAATAGTAGAAGACAACAGACTTGATAACGGGATGTTTATTTGGAATTTGATATACACATATATACATGGGGAAAGTATGTCCGCCTTAAATTAAAATCATCGTTTGTATTATTTCTGCCTTTCGTAATTCGTTTCTTCGTCTTCTTTTCATGTCCCCCACCCCACCCCCCACCTACCCATAACACAGGTTCATTTGCCACGTCTCACGTCAACTCTATCTCTCCGCTATTAGATGTTTTTTTTCTTCCGATGGACGTCTCTTTATATTATTATTATTATTAATATTGTTCCCTTAGGTTCCTAGTGGAACATAGGGATTCAACTGCATGTCTCCACTTGCTTCTGTCTTCTTCTGTACTTCTCACCTCCATCCATGTTAGTCCATACTGTTTCAAACCATCTTCACACGATCTCCTCCATGCCACCCTTGCACTGACGACCAACTCACCGCTTCCCTTTCGGCCTAGTTCCACTCGAGCAATAGCCTGACACGCGCTCGATGTCATCCAGCCGCCTACTCAGCGAGTGTCTAATCCATCCATCTCCACTTTCTCCTGCATATTTGTTGGGCGATCGGTTTGTTCTCGTCTTATTTATTCCCATAGTCTCTTGTTGGTGATTCTTTCCGGCCCGGCCATCTGATCTTCAGTATAGATCCAGCGAAGACAGCTATTCATAAAGGTTTGCATCGCAACCTGTTGGAAATATTCTTTGTCACCCGCCAAAATTTCTGGTCCGTATAGAACTGACTTGACGTTTGTATTGAAGGTCCGAATTTTGTTGTTGATTCTGGCTGAGTGACGAAGACTTCCAGATTGGTTTCAGGTTGATGAGCATGTGTTTCTCGCTCGATTTGACATCCTCGTCTCTTTATATACTACTGATAAATCTTGACAGTAGCACACACCACACACTAGAATGTATGCAGGGATGTGCGACTTCTGTGTAGCCAACCTACTGAAATTTTTCTCTACCAGAGAGAAATGAATGACGCTATCTCATGCTAACTGACTGGTTTCAACATAGAACTTTGCACAGAAGTGTAACAGTTCGAGTTGTCACATTCCATGTACCACGACGCAAAGGTGGTAAACAAAAGACGGAAAGCAGGAATTCAAAAAGACACAATTATAAGCAGAAATGCGACAGAGAAGCGGTAGTAACATAGAAAGACAATAGGGTTTCAGTGGACAGAAAGTCGATGCAACTGTACCACCACTGACAACAATTTCGAACTATATCGATCACCAATCGACTCCAAGCGAATTATTTGGGATCGGTAAAGGCCTTAAGTAAAGGTTAAAGATTAAGTAAGATCAACTTTTCCATAGTTTTTAGAAAAGGAGAGGAAACAGAAATAAGTCCAGATTTAAAACATGTTCTAGTAGATAACTTAGATACAGGTGCAATTTTATTGTTCTTCCAAACGTCTGACACGACATTTCTGGAAAAAGATTCATTAAATATGTCACTGAGTGGATAACACAGGATATCTGCACATTTTTTAAGAATAACACTAGAAAAACCATCTGGACTTAAACTACAAGAAGGGTTCAGCGACTTGAGACATTTTAGAACATAATTTGTATTAAAACCAGGGAAGTAGGTTTCATTAACACTTGTGACACTAGAAAGCTTGGCATTTGTGCGAGAACGTGTGAAAGACTTGTTTAGTGTATACACATCAAATGAATAAGGAATACTATTCATCTACTTACCACCAGTAATTTTTTTGAAAAGTTTCCATATATTAGAAGCATTTTTACAAGATATAAACAGAATTCAATCTGTATATAAGGCAGCAGCAGTGCATCAAGTTTAGACACAGACGTACATTGGAATTTGTAAAATAAGTATAGTCGCAAACTTCCGTACGTAACAAATAATAGAGACTACACAGCGAGTAGTCAGAGGACTAATCTAGTCAAGCCATGCGCCCGATAGTTCAATGAAATGTTCGCCAACCACACAAACGGATGGTACGGATTCGACTCCCACCTCCAACACACTCCTAAACCTCGTCTATAATTAATTAACTAGCCAATAGTAAGGCCAGAATAAAGAGAGAAGGTTGACAGTAAGGCTACCACCTATACCAACCTTAACACAGACAAACTGTTGGGATGTCTAACAGAAAAAAAGGGACAAAATTAAAACAACACTATGAAGAGATGATTATTACCTTTGAGAGGAAGGTGAGTTGGCAGCCTGACATTTTTGAATCTCAAGTTTCTTAGACATTTTTGATGTATCCTCGTCCACTGAAGTGGATGCTCTTTGGAGACATTGTATTGCGCCACTACTGCTTGAAGAGGAAGAACAGACATCACTCATGTCAGACGATATAGTGACTGAATGCTTTGGACTTGACAACAGAAAACCCGAAGGTTTTGATTTCGGAGGTACCTGACAACCTATAGACCGCTGTGTACACCGTGAAGAAGGTGTACAATTTGACAGATGATCAGAAAACTGTTTTTCAAGAGCATTGATCTTTTCCAACTGAAGTAAAAACGAAAACAAAAAAGTCGATATTACTAAAGATAATAATAATAATTAGAATAATAATAGCGAAGAAAGCAAATGTTGAACCGAATGTAAACAAATAATCTATATAACGAAGTTCTTTTACTACATTCTCTTAAAAACATTGGAGCTGGTGATTCACTGTTGGAATACTCACCAGTCTCATGCGGAAGGTGTCCAGGTTCCACTTATAAACCCAGTCTAGTTTGCAGTCCCGACAACAGCTATCTTTGCCATAATGGTCTACGAGCTGGCCTTGTAAGCGGAAAGTCTTGAGTTCGAATCCCGGTGGGCGTGTGCTGATGAAAAGTCACAAACTGGGACGAAGTAGGTGTCCAATACTCCCATATTTTTCCAATGATTCTCTAACTAATGTCAGCTTATGATGGAATTCTGCAACTAATCAAATCTCTGCAAACCAACATTTGAATAACAGCTAACTTCGCCATTCCGATACCAAAAGCCAAATAACCAGTCAGAAAGGATGAACAAGCAACAAGGGACTCTGGCAGTGAACCGAACCTATAAGCAGAAGGCATTGAGAATGGAATGGACAAATCTGCAGGAAGTATCCTAGTGGTATGTGATATCAGAAATGCCCCCTGCCTGAGCAACGCATACCCAGGAGTATACCGGCTTCGAAACCTAACCGATCAACTTACCCCTGTAATAAAATTTGGTCAGTAATTAGCTTCTACTTATTATCTCTCTTTTGAACCTCCCTTCACTCTATTATGCTTTGTGTGATACATGAAATGTGGCAACTCCAAGTGTTACACTTCTCTGCAAAGTTCTATATTGAAAACATTCAGTCAGTCAGTCAGTCAATCTAATCCCTATTATCACAAGTCCAAGGCATAAATTGTAATTCCACAAGTACAAGCATTTGTCTAAATAACTTACAAAGTAATATCAGGTTTAGTAAAAAAAACCAATCATTCATTAATTAGGATTCGGTGTACAACAAAAAGAGTTGTAGTAACTTGCGAATTGTATAAGCACTACATATCAGAATCCACACGAACTTATAACACTGATTGTCTGATTTTCAAGGCAGAACTTTGTACACAAATGCACTAGTTCAAGTTCCCAAACTCTAAGTAGCATACAAAGTGTTAGAGGAAAGAAACAAAACTATGAAAGACAGAAATGTACGAGAGAAAGGAATAGTAATATGGGAAAACATTATGATCAAATGAATCTAGGAGATGACATACAAGGTACACACGTGCGCTGACTGACTGGCTGACTGATGCATCTGAGCTATAGAGAACGGTTTTGACCCGTATCGATAACAGTCGGTAGCCATTTGTTCCTGGAATCTCAATGACCCTAATCATACAGTCTAAAACTCCGTAGTATGTGACTCAAACCAACTGTTAAGTACTCCATAGATTGATGACAGGTTTTGGTTTAACCACCCTATCACTCTTTTCCAATGTAATCGTCTATTAGTTAACATTGCTTACTGAGGAAAGCAGTGATTTGGCATGAGTAACACGTGTCTTCGCCGCCTCAATCGATATAACTTCACAAACTCATTGACTGACTGACTTCCCTTCGTTACCTACCACTAAGCCTAACCCAAATATAACTCACCATATTATACCAATGAACACGGGAGATAGACCGCAAACAATTACCCTTCCCAAGCCTTCTACTTCCAATGACCATGTGTCACAACCATAAAGAGGTAAAGAGAGAACTGCTCCACAGTACACACATCCTTTGATCGATAGCCAGATATCATGTATACGTCAAGGATGACGTAATCTGGGAAACACCAATTATAAGAACAATACGATACCAAACGTTGACACAGTGATTGATATGTAGAAAAGTACAGACTACCTGATAACTAAACGTGAACACAAAACAACAAAAAGAAAATAACATGAGTTGTAGACTTACTGCTGACTCCAACCGACGTTTTCTATGTACCACATAACGTGTAAGACAGCTTAGCCGAGCTGACAAAGTTTTAACTTGCCTATTTACGTGTTCCATAGGCGTAATTTTATCTACAATATATAGAAAAGACAAGAAGATAACAATTCTATATGTAATATAATATGCGTCAGTCGAGAGATTTATGCACTGAATTCCCCAGTAATATATAAATATACATATACAGGATAGTAGTTTAATTTCTAAATTAAGACAGTGACTGACTGACTGACTGACTGGTTTCAACATAGCACTTTACACAGATGTGCACTAGTTCGAGTCGCCACACTTCACTTAGCACACAAAGCAAGAAAGGGAAGTAAAAAGAAATGCAAAACAGAGCTATTAGGCAAGGCGAATAGTAATACAGAAGAACGATATAGTTTCATTGGGTATTATAAGTCACACAAAATGGATACCTCTGTGCCATCACTAAGAACGATTTCGACCCATATCAACAATTGTCTCCAGCCTTCATTGGTGTTAACCATCTTGAGGACCCAAAACAGGAAGTCGACACCATCCTACATGACTGACTTAAACTAACTGTTGTGGATTTGATTGACTGATGAAGCCATGTTTTGGTTTGATCACCACTAACCAGCTCTTTTCCAGCCTGACCAATCCTATGCCAGCTAACATTGCCCGTCGAGGACGGCGATCGATGGTTAGGCATGTGTAACACATGTCTCTATCACATGTCCTAAGCATCTCAACAGGTCATAGATATAGTTAACTCACCATATCAACAAATCGCGAAGTGGCTAGCTGATATCCTCGAACCAGTTAAAAGACATATGACAAAATATAGCCTCAGAGATACATTTGACTTCATCGACTCAGTGAAGAATATCAACGTGTCTGAAAGACAAATGATCTCATTAGATGTCGCCTCTCTATTCACAAGTATCCCCCTAACCGAAACAATATGCTTCATTTGTGAGTACATCGAAACCAACAACCTAGAAGTTCCTCTCCTCATAAACTACCTGAAGGAACTTCTCAGATGTACGTCCAATATCCAGTTCAAATTCAATGAGCAGTTCAAAGTACAGAAAGATGGAGTAGCCATGGGATCTCCTCTTGGTCCACTCCTAGCCGACTGTTTCATGGCGAGTCTCGAAAACAACATCTTTGATCCCTTGATATGTCAACTGCACTTATACAAGAGATATGTAGATGATACGTTTATAATCTGTGATGAAAAATGTGATTTAGATTCCCTCCTCAAAACCTTCAACGCAGAGCATTCATCAATAAGATTCACCTTAGAACGCGAATCGAACAACTCAATTCCATTCCTCGATGTACTACACACCAGAAGACACAACTGTACGATCCAAAGATCGATATACCGCAAGCCAACATGGACTGGACACTTTATCAACTTCCAGAACTTTGTTCCACTGATCCGAAAGAGAAACCTGGAACGTACATTGTGTTCAAGGATTAGAAAAATCTGCTCGGAAGACATGGTAGAGAAAGCATTAAATTTATTACGTGAAACCCTACTAGAGAATGGGTATCCACCAAGATTTATCGAAAAAAACATGAAGGAAAAGCCTCCGGTATCAAACATCACAACGGTTCCTAAGAAGACTCTCCTCATGAACCTAGCATTCAAAGATGATATCGCAGCGGAAATTCTCAGAAACCGCCTTTCTAAAAGTCTGAAGAAGACATTTCCAACAGCCACTCTACGCATCACATTTTCCTGCAAACAGTTAATCCAGTCTAACGCTAAGGACAAGATACCGCTTTTCACCACTTCAATGTGTATTTATCAATTTACTTGCTCGTGTGGAGCAAAGTATATCGGCCGTACGCAACGTCAAGTCCACAAACGTATTCTGGAACACTGCCCAGCTTGGGTTTAGCCAGAGGAGAAAAGAAGAATAGCAACAGCTCTATCCTCGAACACTGTCATCTCCGGACATCGAGCACCCCCACATGAATGCTTCACAGTTGCACTTTTAGCATTACGTAATCAGATGAAAAAGAGGTGAAAATATCCAGTTATCAGGGCATAGAAAGACTGATAACTGTTTCGTTCTGAACGCACAAATTAGGTTTCAGGCGCTTGATGGAGATGGCTTCAGCAAACTTGAAGAGAATCGAACTCTTTTACCCATTGATAATTTGTAACATTCAACTTGATTATAAAGGTGAAAACATTGCATCAATGGTCAACATAAGACTGAGTACGTCATTAGCCACAGCCTATCCTGCAGCTAAGATCGTTCCCGTCTATCAAACAACTTGCTCTTCAGTGCAATCAAAATTTGATAGATATCCTATTCATGTTAACTCCAACTGTATGTACAAATTTACATGTATCTGCGGGAGCAGTTACATTGGAAGAACAGAAATAAGGGTATATCTACGATATTTACGAACGTGTACCAAAAAGCTTATGTCTAAAGGGAGCAAATGCTTTAAACAATGCCATCGCAAGGCACCCCCTTGATACGGGTTGTGAGGTGGACGTCGCAAGATCGTTCAAAATTATCAATAGGTTAGAGAGTTCGATTCTCTTTAAGTTTGCTGAAGCCATCTCCATCAAGCGCCTGAAACCTAATTTATGCGTTCAGAACGAAACAGTTATCAGTCTTTCTATGCCCTGATAACTGGATATTTTCACCTCTTTTTCATCTGACTACGTAATGCCGAAAGTTGCCATTGGGTATGACCATTATTGTTCAAAATAGTGTCCAATATATATACATATATATATATATTCTAAATTTATTGTAGCCTATTCCTCGATAATGCCTTTCTACGGTAACTGAAGATCATATTTACCCACTATGTTCTGAAATGACACAGGTCGTGCTTAAAACGACACCTGCGTGCTGAGTCAAAACTTTCCACTCTGGAGTAACGCTAGTCCATGCTTAATATGTCCTATGAGGGCTGGAACAACGTTGATAAGCAAACCCAGTAGGTTCGATTTAGTGCCACTCATGTTGAAAAATGAGCGCAAAGTTTCGCTGTCAAACAATGGCAAAACAGTAAGGGAGTCTACTGTTACTATTATTAGCATAGTCTATGTTACTATATTAGCATAGTATACGTTGATTAGCTCAATGATTGCAGGTTTACAATAATCTTTGACTACCAACATAATAACTGTGAACTTCAGGCTAAAAATGAGCTAAATAGTAGCACCCAGTGACAAAAACTGACCTACACACTGCAAAATGAGCAAAACATCCAGAAAAACCTTTAAAATTCAATGGAAAACGAATTCACGAAAACATATAACTAGCCGACACAGGAACTCATCATGCCCTAGAAACTGACTGTAGCCTCTTTCACTAATCACACACTGAGTAAACGTAGCACCTACTTCAAAATTTCAAACTGTAAATTCAATTCCCAATTTCCAGTATCGTTATTAAAAGCCAAACCAATTTGACTTCTTTGTGCTATTTTCTTGACTACAAGGTGAAGATTCCTAGTCTCCGATAAAGTTCTGCATAGTATGTTCCACCAAGAGACTGTGGTAGCCTTGGTTGAATGCAAGGGGAGTGAGTGTTTATACATGGATTGTAGCATACTGTAAGTTAAGACAGTGTCACGGCTGTCTTTGGAATTCTATATTTTACATTATATATTTACATTACATAACTGTATGCATATACTGATTGATGGATTTTTGTTTAAAAATGAACTTTGTTCGAGTATATTAAAATTGCTTCTGTAGATATATTTAATAATGACTTTGGCCTGTATGCAGATGATGAGAAGCCAACGAAATAAATGATGGCACCATTTTATTCTGCAAAACTGTCGTTCTTGTTTTATTCAAATGCATTAAGGGGAGTAAATGTATGAAAAATATAGGGATTTCTCACGTTAAACTGGACATTATGCAGATGACGAATTGGATTCTAAACATACGCTAAAACTTATCGTCACCTAGACAGAGATCGAGTTTGTAAACTGTGTTCAGAAGGAAATCCTAGTCGCTTTGAATTTACCACGATAGCACCTTCTAGTGACTAAGTGTTATTCATATATTTCACTTCATTTCATTATTATACTTGATTCAGCTAAAAATATGTTTCTGACAGTACCATTATCTTATTTATTTGTTGTTATAAAGCTTGAAATTCCTGACAATCTTAATTTTTCTCGCTCATAACTGATTTTTTATTTAAGTGATGTAACTCTACCGCAATGCATTACCTGAATTTTATCCTTGCATACCCCTTGCAAAACATTAGCAGCTGTTGTTTTTTATGACTGGTTTAGTAAAATTTATTTATTCAACAGTCAGTGTACTACACACTACTTCTACCGAAATTTGACGAATTCATCAAATCCTTGTTAGTTGACGTTTACAGCACAATTCGTTGCCCTAATTATGTCAACAAGTATTTCCAGTGTTTCATACCTTCTGATTCCCTGCTGCTTTTCATTGAGACTCTTCATATACATATATATATATATACGTCATCCCTGTGTTCAAGTGTTTGGTGGTGATTCGATGATTTGAGGTGGAGTGATTAATCTCTCACTCTACTTAACTAAACGTTGTAACCGAGAGTTACTGCTTTTTATTCGTTGCTGCCTATGTTGGCTGCTATGCGCCAAAATATTCCCCATACCGAGGAGGCACACAAATGTCAAATTTAACCAAGATAAGTATACTTATTGTGTCGTATACGACAACAATAGCCTAATTATTCACAGTACCGAGTATATACCCTTCAAGCATCAAAGGAAATCTCAACGATGAATAATCAATGTCCACTCGGTCGCATCAACCATGAATTCAGGCTAACAATCATCTATTATCTATCCTAGCATCAGATTGCTGTCTAATATTTTCAACCCATACCAGCTCGTCGTTTGATCATATGTATGTGAATGCATCACAAGGATTGGGCATTCTTCTAGACTAATTAACTTAGAAGAGTCAAACATTCCATCTCTAGCTTAATTGTTATGCTCCATAATTATAACTGACTCTAACCTACATATTGACCCAGCTAGCATTTTCTTCGGTCTCACTGCAATATTTCCGGGGGCATATTCTTCCAGCACAATAGCGAAAATGGGACAGTTATCTGCAGTCTGCCTCCAAAGTTTCTGCAGTACTTCGAAGCCAGAGCGATCTGGAGAAATGAAAACTGAAGAATTTCATAACATAAATGTTTGGAGTGGTGGCCGAGTCAGTGAATTTTTCGGGGACCTGGGATATGTGGGTAAAAACGTGGACAGTTTTCCGCTCAAATTTGGGAAAAGTGAGAAAAGGTGGGCTTTTTTCGGTTGTAACATGGGTGAAGTGGGAATAAGTGAGTTACTTTAGAAAATGGCATGGGTGAAGCGGTAAAATGTGGGCGAAGTGTTTGTTGTAGAGGTGGATGAACTGGGAGAAAGCGGGATAATAAAATTTTTTGGGACATGGACTAATGGGAGAAAATTATGCAGCAGTTACACCCTCTTTTGCCCACCTACTTGCCGATCAAAATTACCCATTAAGTCCACGTTTTGGCCACATTGCCCGGGTGCATTCTCTGACTGGAAGGGGGGAACTTCTATTGAGAAGAATTGGTGTTAACCCAACATGCACTACAGCACTTCGTAACTAATAAAGCGGAATTCTCGTAGAGGATATCAAGTCATGTATCAAAGGTTACAATTGCATGGACATATCATTTAGAGATTTTGGAAAAGTAGGGACTTCCAACAACATACAACCGAAAATGGGCGAAGTTAAAGCATCACAGCCAATATCAAAACCTTTCAAAAATTGATCTTCAAAAACCATTTAGATACAGGGAATGCTATGAAAGGTCGTTCTAAATCAAATCATGCCTGACTCTTTGAGTCTGTAGAGGTGAGATACAGTATACTTGTTATTTACTAGGTACTTTTTCTGCAAATCTATACTGCTAGGTAGGGTTATGGCTTTTAAGATTCAGGTCAAGAGCTTTTCCTTATGGTCAGATTTTAGGTCAGAGTTAGGATTATGGTTAGAGTTAAAAGTAGGTTGGAGAACAGTGTCATTAATATTAATTGATCTCAGAATATATTTTGATTACGATATACTATAATTTACGGTCACCTAGATGAATGTGTAAGTGTTGAAGCTAGACTTAAGATAGTCTTCGATATCACCACACTTACTAAAAACTTCACCGTCTTATGACTTTACGAGTACTCTACCTAACGTGTAAGTACTGATTAACTCAATCAAAGTTTAAAAGCTAACAATGGAAAGAATTCTTAGTATGAGTTGTATTTAACGTAACTAAATAACAGATTTAATAAATAAAGTGACTGTACAACTTAGCTGCAGACGTTACTGGAGGTAGGCTCGGAGAGTGTGCAGAAAGAGAGCACAACAAGAGAGCGAACCAATGAACGTACGGAAGACTCACAACTCAAAAGGGTAAAACGTGGATCACCGTGGGTGAGTCAGTTTAAACAAAAGTTCAAAGGTACAATGTGCACTACAGGTTATCCCCCCCTAGAAGGTTGGTGTGAAGCCAGCAAGCTTCGATATACAACAATAGGATGGCTTGGCACAATAGCAATGAGTGAATGAGAAGGTTTGAAAATAGCAATAGTAAAAAAAGAAATTTTACCGAAAGGAAAGAAAGCAAAAGAAAAGAAAAAAATTAAGGTAAGTTGGAAGTGGTATGTACATGATTAGTGAAGTAAGACGGAATATGATAAGAAATGACGCTGGTGCCTTGTGTGGTTGTGAGCTTCTGCGGTCTGATGTTGTTGTTTTTTTTAATTTTTTCTTTTTTTTGTCTTTCATATTTTTATTAATCCTTTTTTTGGTATTTTTTTATTGTATCGATTCATTCTTTTTTTTAATTCCGCACTATTACAAGCTTACTTATGTGGAGGTTTGATGGTAAACCTCTGGCGCCGAGGCTGTCGTAGCAAGAAGGTGACTCATTACGTCTAACTTTCATATTAGACCAATGCTCCCTTCCTCCGCTTCAACAGAACCTAGCAGTCATGTTAAAGGCAATCATTATACCAGCGTATGATAAGGAGCAGGGTAAAAAAAACAACAGAAGAAAATGGGAAAGAAGGTTAAGATTTCAAAATCGGTGTAAAGGTACTACAAAAGCTTGTGCGAAATCAATGCGAGGAAAAGTGGTGCAACTTGGAAGTAGTACGTTAGAATGAGATAGAACAAAGGAAGTTTCTACCCTGTGAGAACTTCTAAAATTACAGAGAAGTTAGTACATAACCAATAGTTATGAGTAGTTATCATTACCAAAATTACTTTGTTCATGTTGCTAAGTGCATAACTAAAATGATGCATAATGTTTATAAGTACAGTTCACAAAATAAATGAATTGCAGGAGGGCATAAACCCGAAGGAATATAGTACAGGTTGTGAAAATAAATTGAGCGGATTACTATGTACAGCATAGAAGTGAAGCATTTATGCGCAAAAAATATGTATATCTGTCCATTTAACTATACAGTGGAAGTTTATTTTTGTTCTTTTTAAATAATCTTTTTTTACTTAAAAAATTTTTTGTTTATTTATTATTATTTTACATTTTTTTACTTTTTTGTATTTTCTTTTTATTTTCTTTTTTTTATAAAAATTTTTTTTATAATAATTAATTTTTTTGGAAGAAAATGGGCAGTGAAAGGTAATATACTGTTCATAATTCCTCTTTTGGTGTGGGTTACGAGATGACATGAGAAGCCAACTGATCTAGCGAGTAGATTGAGATGAAATAGATGAAAAATTAGGGGTAAAAACAAACTGCTGCTGGTCCTCTGTAACGAGAGATAAAGATTAAAAGGATTAGTGAGGGTTAAAACGACTACTCCCAGAAGCGGGACCAAATAGATTAAATATAGCAGAATTGAATTAGAAATTTTGACAAGGAATAAAAAATCACTAGTAGCATTACCTATGGATTAGTTCAGTGAAAGAATTCTACGAACCTCTTGGGCCAGTGAACACGTCGACCAGCACGTGTGACAGGGGTCTTACTGGTGACGGTAGGAGAATCATCATTCACCACTGGAGGTGAGGTAGTTGAGTCTGGACAAGGACTAGGTTCAGTGGGGCTATTTGATTGAGCCGATGGGGAGGGTGAAGGTTCTTCAGTGTATGCCACTTTAAGTCTGTCTATGCTGACAGTGTCTGGGCGGCCGCATCGGTCAATAACGAAAAATTTATCTTTACGACTAAGGACCTTAAAAGGCCCGTCATACGGTGGTTGTAATGGCTTTCGTATGGCGTCGTGACGCACGAAAACGTGTGTACAGTCATCAAGTCGCCGATCAACCTGAACCTTTCGGTTCTGAGTGCGTGTGGAAACTGGTCGGAGTTGCTGCATAAAACTTTTAAGTTGCTGAGCGTAACGGGTG